CAGTGTTGGACGAGGAGTATCGTAGAGTTCGTTAGAGTTCGCCATGACCTTAAATTATTGAAACTGGTATTGTCTTATGCTGCTTCTGTAAAAGTTTCAGGAATGTGGAATAGACTGGATTACCAAAGGACACTTTCCAGCCAGTTCTAGAATATCCGGAAAGTCGGGAGATATGTAAGTCCGGAAAAGATCCATTTCTGGCTCAACAATCCACCTAGACACCCACAGTAACTTAAACACAATCAGAGCTAGAGAAAATGCTGTTACTAGCAAGCTATCGCCTCATGCACAGATATTACCTTTTCCAAAGAAACTTTATAAGTCCATGCCCAATCAAACTCTTCGCTCTTTGTATGAAATTCATCTCGCCAACTGCATTCATAAATACGGCTATAAAAAGAAAATTACACATTCTTTTCATTGAAATCTCTCCGCTTCTTTTGCTGCTTCAGATTTCTTTTACTTCAGAAATGTAAACATTCTCTACAACTTCAATTAATAGGTTAGACCTTTTTAACATAGTTCCCGACGAGTACTGAGGACCTAGTCCTTTTGGTCAGCAAGAATAAAGAATTGGAAAACTGCTATAAAAATTCTTCTAAACTTGCTTACGTGGCACATAACTTGGTATTGTTGGGATCCCTGTGATGTAGGCAACGTAATCCACCACTGTTGCACTGTAATGATCCATATTTTCAATGCCTGATAACAGGTGAAGCAAAAGAAATAAATGTATTTGATATCTGAGCGATGAAGAATGCTACCTATTGAGCCAAATCCAACTTGGTATTTGGGCGGCATGAATCAATCCGATGGGACAAACATCAAACATATGAGCGAATGCTAAGTCAAACTTCTGCGACTTCAACCATCCAATGAGTTCTTTATGCTCAAGAGTGGCTAAATACGGCATATGACACAATCAAAACAAAATCTTGTGGGATGTATTACCACGACAAGTGTCAGTGATCAAGGAGATTTGTCTTGAAAATCTTTTCATCATACGTAAACCAGACAATTCCTGCAAAGGTTTCCGATATGTCCTTTATTATGTTTCTCAATTTCAAACTCACACCAAAGACAGTTTCTTTCTGTTCTTCCTCCATCTCTTTTCGAGAGAGGCCAATCGTTGCATTCACAACATAGGCTTAACATAAAACCTGATTTTGAAGAGGTCAGCAAGTTACTTGTAGTAAACCTTTGACTTTTTTGCTGATTTTGATGTCGCTATTGTCTCGATCACTTTGAGGAGAAATCAGTATAATGGTAACATCATGGCCTGCTTCTGCCAACTCCTCTGCCACTCTTTCGTTGAACAGCAACTTTTATCATAGAAAGTATAGTACTAGTAAAAAGAAGAAAAAACAAGTTATTTTGTTTGTTTTTTGAAGTTAAATCTTTATTATATGTAGACTTTTGCTCAATATATTGTACATTTCAAGAAAACTTTAAACACATAGATGTTTTAGCGCTAGCGGAAATTTTACTAGAACTAACTCAAAAAAAATCATAGTAAGATATGTATAAAAAACGTTTTTATTCACAAACTCTTCTATGATCACAGTCGCTCCTACGCACGATATGCAAAGCAGTTGAAAGCAAGAGGTTTTGCCTACGGCAAAGTTCTCCTTCTTATTTATTCACAAAATGGGAAAAATATTTTATGGTTCGATTTTTTTCCTATTGTCTAACTAGATTCATCTCTTATTCTAAGTGCTCAT